GTCGCTCTATTTGCCGCGTGAACGATCTAGGTGCTTAAACCTGCCCCGTTTGGGTCAGATGCACAGCACGTGACGATCTTAAACATGCAGGCAGCTCAGCGCACACGCGACCGGCAGAAACCCATAAGCGCTCGAGCTTCTCTAGAAATACCATCGATGGGCACGATGGATTTTGTCGACCGAGCTAAAGTCCAGGTTACCGCATCCAGATGGACAGTAATTTGTAGCCTTCCTTTATGGCATAAAATGTAGGGAGCGCAATCCAGTGTAGCGGTTGCCAAGGTAAGTTCCATCGCCAATGTCCTAAACACACATTGAAGCAACTGTAGCTACACAATAGTAAACCAGATTCACTGTGGTTCTGTTTAGTAGGTATAGTCTTCCCACTGGTAAAGATTTTACACAAACTACCGTAGAAGTACGAAAGACTAGTGGCAAAGTTTGTACAAAGGAAGAGCACCAAAAGCCATTCATTTGTAGAATGCTTGACAGTGGGTAACTTCCAGTCCTTCCCATCCAGCACCGCATTAAAACTTAGAAGGTAAGAAGCGCGCTAAAAATGAGTCATCTGTTGCATTAAACACTAATACCACCAGTTGCTCAAATACGCCTGAAACAAGCACCGCCAGTCCGATTGCAATGAGCACGGTCAGGGTCTCGTCCACCCTCCAAACGGTTGCGAAAATTCAGAAGGGCTTCGACACTAGTGGTGGTCGGAATTTGGTTGCTGCCAAAGGTAACCGAAAACCTAGAGCTTCAGCCACTCCCAGTGGACCCACAGTAAATGAAGCAGATGAAGCTGTATCCGAACACCCTCCATCGACTGTATAAAGATCACCTGGTCGCTTGACCTCAACCAGATCTAAACGTAGTATACCAGCGGCAATCTGAACCAACGTTGCAGATTCAACGTCAAATTCCTTTAAGGGAACACAACGCGATGGAGTGAACCAATGGAACTCCAAATGTGACACTATAGGTGTTGTAGCTAAGCCCGTCAATTTGACACGCTTTATCCGTCATCCAAACTCACAGCATTACCGTGAACAAAGCCTGCTCTGAGTTGTGCTGAATTCTGCCAATTAAGCAGAACTTGTCCTGTTATTGACCGCTCGCCTCCGGAATCGGTTGTTTTCCATCCGCCTATTCCCTGATATTCCATGAAGCTAGCGCAGACAGGCGAAGCACTACTTGGATGAAAATCGGAAGGAATTCGTAGTCAGGACGATCCTTGTACACGGTGCTCCCGAAGCTGGAAGTCATGATTAGCGCGAAGTGGCCACTCACGACCAGGAGCATTGGCGGTACATGCGTGAGACCATCTCCCTTGGAAACGTCATGGCATAATCAATCCCGAGGCTGTGTCAATCGCTAAACTACAAGGAATGTGGTCCGGGTATTGTGAAAATGGTGCTTCAATCTAGACAAATGTCAGCAATGGTAGTGGAGGGATGGTATGCGGTCCGCAGCAGCCTTCCTTCCGAGCTCCGGATCAAAGCAGCATGTGATAAGCAAACGCACGAGAGCAGCCAATTAGTCAGACCCCTTACCGACATAAGTTCTGATAACTTCACTCAACTAACAAACGAACCTGGCAAACACACCCAACACATTACGTACAAAGGGAGCAGCAAAGCGGTAATGGTAGGATCAATGAATCGGACACAGATGAGTTCGCCATCCCCCCACCCAAAAAACGAATAGTTGCCGACCTTTTACCGGTCGGTGCAACATTTTATCCAAAGTAGCCGTCTTGCGATTCATTGCTAAAAACAGAGAAAGTTTTCTGCATGTACACCAATGCGCAAGGTCTCCTGAACATGCTTGCTGAACTGCGGCTACGTCAAGCTTCACATACCTGGTACCTCATACTCGTTACGGAAACCTGGTTGCACTCAGAAATTATCGATGCCGAGGTCGCGATAAATGGTTTGTCCCTTCTCCGAAATGATCGACTTAGCAAAGGCGGGTGGGGGTAAATTTTACTACCGAAACGACCTGCAGTGCGAACTGGTGGCCGATCCGAAAACGCTGGTCATAGACTCATTCTGGTGCAGTCTGCGACGGAGACGCAACGACACTTGCCTTCTGGCCGTTGTTTTCGTCCCCCAATGTCCACTCCAGTGATTGACTCCCGCCTGGCATTATCCTTGGGAAGGGTCCTATGAGGACGATACAGTCATGATCTCTTTTCAGGTGACTTCAATCTTCATAATTTGTAAGTTCCGGCATCCCCCAAAGAGAAGTTTAAGGCCGACCTACAAGAGTATATTGTAAGCATTCCGCTCTTCAGCCATTACAGCTCACCTACCCGGTACAGAGCCGGAAATATACCATTTGTGTTTGATTTAGTGCTCAAAAACCAAGAGCTCATGGTTGAGAAACCAAGGCTAGAGAACCTTCTGGGGCGGGGCGACCACGCAACCATAATTTACGATTTCGTGTGTTATGCGGAGTGTCCACAAGAACACACTAACTTGTTGCAAACAATCACCCACTACGACATCCTGACAGAACTTGTGGGAGATGCCAACTGGGACTTTCCGGACGACTGTTCCATTGACAGTGTTTTGTTGAATTTTACTTGCAATTCAGTGATCTGATTAAATCTGCATCGGTCAACGAGCCCCTTTGTTCTGCAAGGGCACGCTCATTCATTCGGAGTAGAACCAGAGGACACATGAGAGTAAGAGACGCAGTGAGTCATGTGTATAGAGGGAACCCTAGACTTGACAACTGGAGTAACTATGTTGTGTATCCTAATCACTGTACCACTTGTGCGTGAGGATGAATTACTGCACCAGCAGTGTCTAGCGGAAAAGTTTTGTGTTAACAGAAATCTTCTGTTCTGACATGTGAGCAGCCTCCGGTATATGAAACGTGGTGTTCCCTCACTAATATCAGCAGATGGATGTGCTCAAACCGTTGAGACTGCAGTTAACGTTCTACGGCTACAATATGCTACAAGTTTTCGACGTGCTGCCAGCGTTTGTAACATATCTACCCCATTCTCCCAGATGCCAGTATTTCCACATGTCACGTTTAGTTTAGCGATCATTTTGAGGAAACTGCTGTTGTTATGATCCATAGTTCCCCCCGGCGTTGAGAACATTCCCCCAAAAGCACTGCGGGCGGCATCTAAGAGGATAGCGAAAGCATTAATGAGATTTCTCCAAAGATGCCTTGCAATCGCAATAGGAAAGTGCCGTTTGATGGTGGGTGAAGCCTAAGGCGAAGGGAATCGCCGCGGTAACGATGGTCCGTGGGCCATTCAGACGGAGGCTGAGGGCGCACGACTGGCCCAAATCATCACCCAAGTGGAACAGGGTGTTTTGCAGCGTCTAAGAAGCCAATTGGTCAGCCGTATGTCGAGTGGACAACTCACGCCGGAGTCCAGTTTAACTACACACACAACCCAATAGACCTATGGCCACCCAGACACCAGCCTATCAGTGATGACAACAACGCGGCTGGACGTAAAAATGGGTTCAGTAAATGTCAATCGGTTAAACTAAAGAACAAGCACGAACCAATAAGATGAGCCTAACGTCACGGGCCGGTTAACAAGGGATAGCCACTAAGCAGACGACAGTAGGATACCCGTACGCAGTCAATTAAAAGCCATGATTCCGCTTAACACAGATTTTTGTTTGCCACCTGGACTTTTATTCTGGTTCCTGGTGGGCTACTTGATAGTCATAAAGTAGAATACGAGCGGCGGCTTTGGAAAACGGTACAGCGTAACAGTTTACTAATCGGCAGACTATAACGAATGAAATATTTAACTTTAAGGAGTCAAGCGTATGCCAATGTTGCGAAATGAAAACGTAAAGTGTTTCATAAAGTGTTTCATAAATGCTTTATAAAGTATTTGAAACAAATGTATAAATTGCTGTAAGTAAATAAATGAAGGGTTTGGAACTAAGAGTATCAGGTCCTCAAACGGGGAACCCACTTTGGCTGAACAATCAAATTTATCCTTGGACTTTACATTTCTTATTGCTCTTGCTTACATTAGCAAACTCAGAGGTTTTGGTTATGCCAGTCTTTTCGATAAGTCAGTCTGAAACAAAGACACTTGAGTAGCACGAATTTATACAACAAACGCAGGGTTCAAAGTGATTGTAGACTGTGGTGTACGTGTAGCATCAGGCGATTCGGTCAGAGGTAGAAGCCCTCTCCCATCTAAACTGTCGTTCAGATGTATTTATATGATAGAGATAACTAACTTGCAACAGACAAGGAATAACCCCAGTACCCGGGGATCTACTTCTGGATGCGCTTTCTCGCCCGAACTTTACAAGGGACATGGCAACCGTAGATGCGGCGATCGTTTCTACAAACTGCACTGTAAAAAGCTGCTTTGTTAGTGGCAGGCTCCACAAAATGCTTGTTATCTGGTCACTTGCCACATGGTGCCTTGGTAAGATATGAGCCTTGCCAGATAGGAAGATCAGGTATCCCATCTCAAGTCCTTTGTATATCATTGGGGTCTAGAAGAACTGGACTATGTGCACATTGTTGTTTGTGTGCTCTAAATGCGGGAAACGAATTTCGAGTGCAGTTAGTGCAGTCTTAGGCGGTATGTGACACAATGCGATCAGTACAATCATTCAATAGTCTTTGAGTATTCAACTGAGCGGCAAAGTAAATTAATGCACACTTGCGAACTTGGGAAATGCACTTAAAAGCTAACATTCGCAGGGATAGCACCTACAACGCCGTGCTAATAAACTCCATTCGTAGAGTGATTAGGGCACTTGAAACTATGTCAATAATCTCACTGAGCGGTTGTAAGCCACGTGAAGTGGGAGCACAAGCTATCAGCCCTTTAAGTTGCTTCCAAGCAGCTTGCACAAAAATTAAACCTATGCTATTTATGTTAATCCAAGACGCTTTTCCCCAACGAACAGGCTCACATTGACGCTGGTGACCATGAGGGCGCTCGAAAGATACGGCTGACGATGATGCGATACGTGGTTTTGTCATGGATCTTATTAATGCGCCTGATTTCGGACCAAACTGCTGATCGATTTCCAGAGAAGAAGGAACCGTGGCAACCTCATTCTGCTGTCCCATTGCTATTGAATCGATCACGCAAAAGACATATCAGTCGTAACCTGCAACATCCATGGACGATTGGGCGTTGTGACAATGAAACTTGTTGGAGCAAAAGGCTGAGTGACGCCTTCGGACATATCATATTCCACAATGAGGTCAATTCGGGAGGTAAATGCCAAACTTCAGCCGATCCTACGCTGAAGAATTCTACGAAAAATAGTCCGTTTCAGGATTCCTCCTCAACTGAACCTGAGTTCACATTTGGCGCCTTCCATGCATTCGATGATTACAATCTGATCAACACGCTCCGTGGTTTCAATGATGATGCACGTAAGTTCATGGCATAGTCGGATAAGAATAAACTCATTGACCTCACTTGGCACAAGCTGAACAGATATGTGGTTTACGATGTAAACGACATCTACTGAAAAGACAGGACAAGCTGGATAAACACTCAAGTGAAGTAGTTCAAAAGAGAACTAGATCATCACTTGGGAGGACAGATGTAATTTGTGCTTTTAGTTAATGCCCACTGTGTCAATTACAATCGGCACAAGAAGATGTTAGCAGGCAAATGGATGAGTAACACACAGCTCGAAGCTAGATATTTATCGCGGCCTGGGTATCCTTCGTTAGCGCGTTAGATAAGCATATTGCGTTTATCGACCGCTAAAAATCAGCCAATCGCATCAAGTTTGTACAGATCCGTTCCTTCGGGGATAAACGATTAATCCAGAATTCATGCTGCTCATAAATATTCTGTGGTGCCGCATCAACAACCTAGGACGGCATCACCATGCTTGTACAAATTTCAAATACATTCATGACACCTATTCAGATAAACAAACACCGCCGGGTAATGATTGGCAACGTAGCCAAACGTTATCAAAAAGTCAGTGCAACCGCGCAGACGGGTCGCTATTCCTGGTGATACCAGGTACGTCGTCTTTTCTGCTCCCCTCTGATTTGTTCGGTATGCTTTTCTTACCCCATCACATACTTTCCACTCAAAGGCTGGTACCGTTTGTAAACATTGTCTGCAAAGTATGCAACCCCTTTTCCGTATGTTTCGTCAGCCAATATCGCTGTGTTCACTGGATACCACCCGACCGAAAGCTGATTGACTTCCCCCATCAGCATGGATATGTAATGCGTTTATTTCCGGTTGAGGTCAGATGTCCAGCTCAAGGAGTAGATTACATGCAATGGGGGAGGGTAGAGTTTAATCCGTTGGAAGTGCTATTGTGAGACCCACACTTAATTTAACATTGCGTTCGAAGGAAGGGGAAACTGACGGCTTACAGAACATATGGTATGACCCACACTGATGCATACAGTGTGTAACAGGACGCGGAAAGTGAGATACCTCCGGTTCTCCCGTTAACCTGGGGTTGCAGCCCAAAACAGAGGACTGATAACGTTTGGAAATTTTGAGAACTGTACCGGAAGATCTACGACAGCCTTGAATGGAAGGTGTAAATCCCCTTTACAGTAGAGATGTAGAAATTCGTCCCGTCGGCTTTTGTAAGTTGTGCTTACTTGCGGAGCACAGCTCCCAAGTTCATTGGGGTGAGCGTTTACATTTTAAACCTGGAACTATGTGCTCGCTTCTGTTTTAATACGGATGATGGAACGCTTTGATTAATGAAGCGCATGAATACATTGCATTTTGGCGTGTCTACCATGTGGTACGATTGCGGCACTCACCCACAAGTTGGAGCAAGATTTACCTCGTGCGTAACCTCAGTCATTCCGATGGTTAGAACCGCACCCGAGCATCAGGGTTCTCGGTGCTGTTCATACTCATCAAGATAATGCGTTGCGGGTGAAGTCCTTGTTTGCACTCGTCAGGTAGAGACAATCGGAGTTGTGAGTGACATCCAGTATGTCAGAGTTGCCCGCTAGCTCCCAGAGTGGTGAGCTCCCCACACACCAGCTACCTTCATGGGAAGTGAGCAGATAAGTACGAAACCGGCGATTTGTTGGGAGAGAAAACACGGAAGCTCTCCTTTCGTACTATGTGGCTAGCCATCTACATATGGCATCATGCTCAGTAGTGTATCATTTTCCAGAGACAGAATAAGTGTTGGGCTTAAATGAAAAATGACAGTTATAAAATGACTTTCTATTGGTATCACATCACCAGTTGCCGGGATCCTTTGTTAGTGCAGTTTACCATTAAGCAGCCGTTCCATTCATGTCTGATCGACTAGCTAAATTCCACTAACAGGATGCTGTTCGGCTCCAGTTGGCGTGGGAGTCAACCGGAGTTCTTTGTGCTGTAGGTATGATTGCACGTTAACAATGTTGCTTCGAGACGGTCGTTCACCAGGTGATCGTGGTTACTTGTTCGCGCCACCGACTTGTTCACTGTTAACGTGTCTGATTGCGACTGCTCCTACAAACTTTCTTCCCAGTTGATATTTCTGAATGGCTAACTATCATAACACTTATGAATACGCTCCACATTGTTCTCCAGTAATTCAACTTTTCTCGGCCAGTTTGACTTAGATACCTTGAAGAGTGCAAACGCGTACCAAATACCTGGTTCTATAATAGAAAAGTAAAGCCCTCGATTTCGTGTCCCGTTTGAGGTAACCTGTTACCAGAATTATAATTTATATCTTTAATCTTCCCCTCTACCAACAACGTTGCCTACTCGTTAAGGTCCCATTTTGGTAGCTCGCTGCATCTCAGAATACATCAAAGCAGTTGAAAGGACACAACCAGACTCCATTCCTTGATATGTTCACACGTCATTCTGGGTATGCAGTTTAGAATATTTGATTATCCGTTTCGCAAATCGATAGCGTCACGGAGTTTTTTAGATTTTTATTGAGGAAATATCATCTCCAAAATATTGTCTTCATTCCAATCTTGTGAGATAGATAAATGGGCGGTAAAAATAATCTAAGTTGAACTGCGCAAGTTAAGATTTCATGCAATTGCTTTTCTGCGCAGAAATCAAGGCGACATTTGGGTTGATAATCACAGAGAACGAGGTTACGGCGTTTCAGAATGTTGCGGAGGGCTTTTACGCACACACGAAAGCAAAATACTTACCGGAGTATTGGATCCCACTACAATGGGCGCAACGCCTTGTGCTCAACTCTCTCAGTGCTGGTTACATCCAAGACCTCAGAAAGGCAAACGAGCTTCTGAAGGTTGGTATAAACTTTTCACTTGCAAACTTTTAGTATAATGTACCTGTGAAGTGTACAATCGACGCTGCAACTCCTTTATGATCGTTCGTCGAACTTTACAGCCACCCTGTAGTCAAGTCCTGAAGGTCTTATAAGTACCCATGAAGGGTGGATATTCAGCTGCAAGATTTAAAGCATGGTGGGTGTAAACGAACACGCCGATCGTCGCGGAACAAATTTTTGTACGGTTAAAACAAAAGTGTTCCGATATAGTGCCGAAAAGCGTGTGGTGCTAAACCCGTTAGACGGGAATTATGCTGCCAACTTTGAAGGCCTCGCCTTGATGCCACTAGATTAGTGGCCCAACCAAGCGATTGCCAGTGAGCACTGGTACTACAAACACGGCCGGTTTTTGGCCTCGGTTACTTTATTATGCCCTCCGATATACAGACCTCGAGACATCTAGCCTATGGGAACTGATCAAGATGGAACCAATCTGAGCGCTCCGTGCGACTGTGGACGTTTGTTAAGCAGTCTATCACATCAGCAATGTTCGGGCTAGTAGAAGTACTTGAGTGATTCGTAAGGCATACACTGGCTGTCACTACGGAACCCTGTTGAGACAGTCCAGCCCCGGTGCGTTGACTGTCTACGACATGCTTTGCAAGTCGCGGTAACACACACATTAGTGGCAGCGAACAAAACCGTCCACAATTACATATCCACAGTTTGTTTCGCCTAAACAAGCCCATAAAGAAGGGGGATAACGGCTGTTTACGGCCGGTTGAAACAGTACAAAGAAAGAAAAAAGGCAAATAGACCTCAGGGCTTTCAGTTTGACATCCATCGATGACTTTGAGCTTATTGTAGTAGTCCTGTTCGTTAGACGTTTTTTCAGCTCTGCTAACTAGCCCTCCTAGAGTATGGTAAATTAATCACCTAGGAAATCAAATCTGGTGAGAGGTAGCCCATGGGGTGAACCAGTGAAGCGGCGCAGAATCTCTTCATTAATGGTTGCAGCATTTGACATAACATTAGTGTTTTGATTCTGAAAAATCACTGTGTGAAGACGACGCATTTATAATGGCGATCGTTGAAGTAGCAGAAGGCCATCATCGCTGGACCCACCTGGTACCGCTAGCAACCAAGAGTGTACCACCGCCCAGAATATACTATACTTATTGTAAACTACGATCTGGTGAGCCCCTATGTTGGCACCATTTCGTACTGTTTACATACGTCCAGATGCTCACCGATGCGAAATATTGCAAACATGCAGCGATTTTAATCTGGAACAGCTCAACCTGCTGATTACATTTATCGCTTGATTTTTACGAGGCGTCTGGTGACAAAATAGCCTATTTTTGCTTAGTCCCTGCAAGTCACAGAATGGAAACGACGATACCACCAGCAATATTTTAAAGTTGCAGAATGCACAGTTACTTAATGCTCTGGCCACCGCAGAGGATAATCAACGGTGCCCTATCTGCTGCGTCGAGCAGGGTGGATAGGGGTTTGGACGCTACTGCTCAAGCCATCCCATCTTATTATTTTCCCTCTTAGGCTTTTTCTCTATTAGCGTCCCGTTCCAGCTTCACTTTTATCCCTCCTGTTTTCAACCCCCCCCAATTCTTGGCCCTCTCCCACCTTGATTTGCTAGGCTTTTGCCTTTTAATTTCAACTCACACGTGAACGCGGAGAGTCATTCCTGTTCTGTCAACAAGCCCATGTCCAACCAAACGGCCAAGCTCGGTTTATCGGCTTGCATTTGGAGCCCTCGATCCTCCTTCAGATTGACATGCCTCAATGTACGCACATTGCTACAAATCGGTCAACAGGCAGCACTTACTCGAACATTAGAGAATCTCTTGGTCGATATCTGCTGCTTATCAGGAGCCCCGCCTGCATGACTCGGGCTCTTTGCTCACTTTGAGATCCCCTTCAGGTGACACCGGCAGCACTTTCTCATTGCGCCTATCCGGTGACGATGCAGCTTCGAGCACCAGCCAAGCTAGTGTTGGTATCGCCCTGAGTCCCCGGGCTGAATTTGCTCTGGTTGATTGGATTCCAATCAGTAGCCGGTTGTGTGCGATTCGATTGGCTGGCTCGTTCAAAACTTCGAAGTCACGTGAGAATAACAGGTGTCTATTTGTTGTCGCTGCCTATGCACCGACAAACTATAGCGATGACTCGGTAAAAGACGACTTCTATCGTCAAATGAACGAGCTCCTTAGCCACAGAAGAAGCTCGGACACTGTAGTGCTGGCTGGGGATCTGAACGCTCAAGTTGGAAAATTATCCACTGATGAACTGCATCTGCGCGTCCAACATGGTGTAGGCTCGCGTAATGATAACGGTGAGCGGTTCCTTCACTTGTGTGAAGATGCTCGCTTATTTCTTGCGAGCACTAATTTCCGATACAGCACCCGCCGGAGGGTGACTTGGTGCCCACCAGCTTCGAACCAGCCATGGGCGCAAATCGATCACATTGCAATAACTTACCGATGGAGAGGCTGCGTCCAGAACTGTCGCTCGATTTGGAGCACATGTGTGGACACCGACCATGCACTTGTATGTGCTGACCTGCGGATGCGTTTTGGCGGAAGCCCAAGACGACGTTGTGAGCGCATTGACACCAACCAACTGGCGAAACCAGCTGTTCTGAATGCCTTTCAAAGCACGCTGACATGCGAGTTGAGTAAGCGCTAACCGGATGCAGTTGAAGCTCACTGGTCTCATATTCACCAGTCCTTACTAGTAACATGCGAATCCTCATGTGGTAAGTCTAATCGCTAACATGGACGTGGGGTCTCTTCGCAGTCTCTGGAACTTATCGATACTCGCCGGCATATTCCGGCTGGAAGCAGACACAATGAGATTAGCAGAAAATTCCGGGCAAAACTCCGTGCTGGCCTGAAGAGAGACCGCCAATCCTAGTGGTTTCATCGTGCATCAGATATGGAAATAGCCGCTGCCCTTGGTAACTATCGTAAGTTATTCCGGCTGATCAGGGAAACGGGCAACAGAAGATCTGGTGTTAGTGAAAGTATACGTGCCGAGAGTGGACAGCCTATCCACAACTTATCAAAACGCTTGGAGCGTTGGGCTGAGCCCTATGAAAATCAATTCGATCGGTCAGAATGGTTAGATTTCTCGCCGGCCACTGATCGCCCCGCTCCCTGGGCTGTATCTTTAGATCCCTCTCTCGCTCAGAAGTCGAACGTGAGATCGAACTGTTAAAGTTAAGTAAACCCGCGGGACCAGATTATATCCTTCCAGCACTCTTTTAATTCGGGAGACCCGTTCTTGTGGATGATGTATACGAGTTACTGGTGACACTGTGGGAGCAGAAGACTGTTCCAACCGACTGGAGCCGCTCCGTCATAGTCCCAATTTTCAAGGGGGCTCATGATCTGAATAAGGCAACCATAGATGAATCAGTCTGTTCTCCATAGCTTCCAAATTGCTTGCCTCTGTCATCCTTCACAGACTGACTGTCACTTTTGAAAGCCATACTCGTGAAGAGCAAGCCGGGTTTCGTCGAGGTCGGGGCTTCATTGACCACATCTTCACTTTGCGTCACTTGTTGGTATACCGTCACACATATTGGCTGCCCACTATTGTCGTGTTCCGTGATATCAAAGGTGCATTCGATTCGGTGGATAGACATGCACTTTGGGACTGTCTACTCAGGGAAGATGTACCTGAGAAATATGTGAATATTATCCGATCATCATATGCTCGTAGCACCGGCAGACTGAGGGCTTACGGCAAGTTGTCGTCACCCTTTAATATTTCCAGCGGCGTGAGACAAGGATGCCCGCTGTCACCTTTCCTATTCAACTTCGCTATGGACGAAATCATGGAAATCGCGTTTACAGAACACGACTTAGAAGGTGTGGATCTGCTCCTAGAAGAATGATTTCTTGACTCAGAGTATGCTGATGATATTGCCCTAATCTGTGACAGCTCACAAACGTGCCAAGAGGCACAGGACAAATTAGCACTGGCTTTCAGTCACTCGTGTTTTGCTTTGCACCACCGAAGTGCAAAGCGTTCCTCCAAGATTGGCAGGGATCGCCCCCTGTGCTGACCCTTGGTGGGGATCAGCTAGAAGTCGCTCAAAAATTCAACTACCTGGGAAGTTGTATCAGCGCCCGTGGGACTGAAGATGAGACCACGAATCGTATAGCAAAAGCTCGGGGCGCTTTTGCTAACCTTCGCCACTTATTGCGCCGGCGCGACATCACTCTCGCCCTGAAGCGTAGAGTGTACAATGTAGCGGTACGTTCGACCTTATGGTACGGTTGAGAAACCTGGCACATTAGATCAGCGAACATAAAGAGGCTGGTTACGTTTGACAATCGTTGCCTTCGCGGTTTGGCTCATATCTGGTGGGAACACCGCGTGAGCAACGAGCGTGTTCGACGCCTTGTTTAAGGCACAGGAAAAGGAAATGAACTGCTCAGCACCGTCATTTCACGCACCAGGCTCCGATGGCTGGGCCAAGTGTTGCGCATGCCAGACCATCGACTTCCACGACGTGCGTTGTTGGCGCGCCCGGTGGTGTGGATGGAAGAAGAGGAGGGGTGGCCAAGCGATGACTTGGTCGAGAGGAATGAAGGCCTTCACTTCGGAGCTCGCCTCAGTTGGAGCATCAAGGCTCCCTGATTGGGGTCCGAAAGACGATGAACACATTTGCCTGGATACACTTGTTGATATGACTAGGAGCCGATCTCAGTGGCGTTCCTGCTGTGAGTTTCTTTGTCCCACCCCATTCCTCTTTGTCTCCCCCTCCAACCACGATCTCAGTATTTAGCAGTTTATAATTTTACATAGAAAATTACATTTTTGCTGGATAATAGCCGGCAGATAGCTTACCGGAACGATGCCCATTCTTTACCGGTAGCTCAGCTGGTTGGCACCTGTTGCATTTTATGCCCTTTTTTCTTTTAGATATTGCGGCACAGTATCTGAGGTGTTTCCCACCTCTGGCTAACGTGTATATTGTGTGTGTGCAC